ACTCGCCGCCCTGAGAACCTCAAATCTTACTCGGATGTACGGCAAATGCCAACTACATGTAGCCTCATATATTTCAGCCCATAACATTGTGGTCTATAAGACAACACACACTGTGTATGACATGTATGTTATAAATCAGTTTGTGACAGGTTTTTAGAAGGAAATATACTTGTTACAAATTGGTTGAAGAGTTTGCTTACTGTTTTTTTAGAACTTGAGTTCAACACATGGAGTTTAACATTTTAATTTGGTGAGAAATTAAATGTTATTGTTCTTTCATTACTGGTATCAAATTGCTGAGATTTCAGGTCCTCACTGTGATGAAGATGTCAACTGTAGTATTTTGGCTTGAGAAAATGTACTCTTGTAAATGGTTAACAATGCTTTTGGAGAAACAAATAGCCTCCATCTTCAGGGTCCAACCCAGAATGAATCACCTCAATATTCAGGTTTTAACCCTGAAAGTTGAGGTGATTCATTCCTCCAAACATCAATAATAACTTACAAGAATGCATGGTGTCACAATTAGACAACCACACTTAACAAGAATACTTACAATTTCTTGACTGATACAGGATCTCTGTTTTAACACCTTGAAATATTCTGACAGCATTAGCCTATTAATTTGCTTATCCTAAAACCAGCAGATCACTGTGTAACAAAGATATATCAAAAAACTGATACAATTTAATTTTATTTAAGGCAGTTGTCAAAGTATAATGATGAACAACAAATATTCTAATCTTAAAACCTTGCATACTGTGCAGTGTATTGATATATAAAATCATGCATACCAACAAAATTGTTTACTCATTACATATTTAATGTGTAAACAGTTTTGTTTGTACATATGATTTTATAAAAGAATTTTTAAATTAACAATCTCATGACTCATTAATGCTGGAGAAAATTCGATCAGAAATTCTGCTAAAATGATTCCTGTTTTCAGTGTATCAATATACTGAAGAGTGGGCAAGTTTTGTGCAGCAGGTTCAGTACCAGATAAAAATAAAACAAAATATTAATGTTTTGACTGAAAGGAAATTGGACAACAGACATATTTTAGCTACGACTATAGAAAACTTATGTACACAAATAATTTAGTAAGAATCTGTTATTGTAGGTGGTTTCAGGAAAAAGTCTTCAGTGGACTTCTCAACCCATAATGTAGAAATGTGGTTTTCAGAAGTCAAAATAGCTGCTTGCAAGTTCAGAAAATCAGAATGCATATTATAACATCCCTCTGCATGACCTACTGTGTGGAGCATGAAATGATATCCAATTAAAAGTTTAAATATTCATATGAAGATACATATATATTTATAAACACAAAGAATAATTCACGGAGATTTGTCCTTTATGGATTATATGCTCAATATCATCACGGTTCTGTCATGCAACTTCAGAAACACAAACAGCTACATTTGTGATCACACAATGGCACATATCCTCCATGACTTCACCACACATTTGAACAACTGAAGTCCTTAGTTGCAATACTGAGGGTTTTCTTTTTTTGAAAAGTTTTTCCTTAAGTTAACCCCAAAGGAAGAAGTCACAGAGGTTTATTTTCAGGCTATTGGGCAGTCACTTCTGTCCACATCCATGCCAAGCAGGATATTGGTGGCTGCCAAATAGCCTGGCCAAAAATCCTGCAGCTTTTTACTTTGGGGATACCTTAAAGAAAAACTATTTTCAAAAAGAAAACAGCCCCAATAACGCAACTCTGGGTTTTGATTGTTCAAATGTGTGGTGAAATTACAAGGACATGTGCAGTCATGTGACCATGAACATAGCCATTCATGTTTTGGAAGCTGCATGGCATAAAGGTGGTCATATTGAGCATGTAATCCATAAAAAATATCCATGAATTGTTCATATATATGTATTTATTACAGGTACAAAAAATAAATAACAGTACAACAATGGTCCCTGCCTGTTTGCTCTCTTGACTTGTCTGCACTATACCCCACTCCTCTAGTACACCATGGAGCTTTAAGATAACAACTGGCTTCTATATCCCATAAAAATTCTAATAAAATAATTAGTTACAGAAGATGTCAAAAATTTGTCGTCAACACATGAAATACAAATGACAGTTGCCAGTGCTTTCAGTCTGATAAGATGAAACTTTATTCAACTTCTGAATTTAAATATAGACAAATTCCTTCTTAACAGCATTTACTATGTATCTAGTGATTCTATATACAATAATGGTAGATTTTTGCACTTACTGTGAGACTACCCCTAATAATTATTATCACCTTTAGAATAAAAGATGATGAAATGGAAATTTTAATAGAAATTTCCTGTAGTATGTCTTATAAGCTGTATCTGAGAAATATTCCACAGAGTAAGACATAATGTTTTAAAGTGTATTTCAACTTACACCATTGTATTTTTCTTCCACAGCAGCAAAAGGGATCTGAAGTCAATATTTTAGGTCTGTAATTCTCAACAGACAATTATCACAAAGCTGACAGGCAAATGCTCATTGTCTATCAAGGTTTTAGCATTAACAGACAGGAACAAGACAGCATGTAAAATATTTGTGCACAAGCCCTACTGTGGAGGAGAACCAAGGTGTATATTACGAAAGTTAAAAGTAATATAATATTAGACACACGCAACAGTGAACAGCATTAGCTACCACAGCCCTGCTGATAAGATGTGCTTACAAAATACTGTGCAGATGTTTAATCAATGGTAATGACAGGAACCTGATTCTGCAACCTTGCAAATGATAGGAATACTTGTTCCAGTGTTGTCTCACTTATAGTATAATCTTCCACCACATCATAATCTTGCTTCATTTCTTCCATTGTTGTGAAGAGATATTTCCATGGAATGTTTGGATCCGTTACGTGATAGTGTAGCAAACCCTATTAAAATAAATATATTTAGTGCACTAATTTCAAGTTACCATGTTAACTCTAACAATAGAAGACTATGTAACATGCTTACAAGGGACTTCTCTACAAAAAGAGTTCTACTTCAGTTTTTTTAATCACCTGTTATAATACCAAAGAGAAAATTAATTATCAGTATAGAGAAGTCTGATGTCACCCGCACACAAACGTTTATGAATGTTCACCACAGTTTCTTTTTCAGCAAAAAAGAATTCAATTACAGCTCGTTGCTTGTAACGAGAGTCGTTCACAGACGCCATTTTAACAGTTCACTACAGCTCCGCCATTGGTTGGAATCATTTGAAACTCCGTACACGAACGCGAGAAACATCAAATCTCAAGCATGTAAAAGTACACTTTTCTATCGTCATTATTGGCTGAGAAAAAAAATGTGGGGCATTATTTAATGAGCGACCCTCGTAATTTTAGAAAAACAACAGCTGAAATTTGTTGCAGTACTGTGACTTACAACTTTTTTCTTCCTTTCTTTACCTCATAAGTGTTCAATGATATACAAGGAAGAGTACTAGACTGAGTAGATAATGAGAATTATGGCATTAATGGAAAACTGAGGAAATGTATATGGAACATTACCTCAGAATTATGGAACAGCAGCGATATTCATTAAACTGCTGTTGAGAAGCAGAGTCAGACAAAATTATACAAACATAAGAGAAAGTTTTAATTATGTACATCAAATGATTTACCTCATGTTCATCCTTAAGAACACAACCAGAATTGAAACTGTCTTCAATCTTGCTTTTTAATTCGTGTACAATGTGTTCATCAGTTTCAGTTGCTCTCACTTTCACCATCACAGTAAAGCCCTGACCAAATTTCTGTTTCAGATACTGGATACCTCCCATGCACACAAACTGTCCATCAACCAAGATGGCCAACCTGTTACATAGTGCTTCACACTCCTCCATGCTACAACACAAAATATTGATATAATATGCAGGAAAAAATAATGAATATTAGCAGAAAAGCCAAAACTTTTAGAGAGCAATAAAAAAATTAGCTGAACAAAAATTGCATATTTCTGATGCTCTATCATTACATGCAAGCAGTGGCACTCGCACTTTAAAAGTTTATATGTCTCCCATTTTGGTATCATTAAGTTAGAAAATTGTGAAGTAGAAAGTATGAAGGGTTTTACTTCACAATCAACAACTTCTTAAATTCAAAATGTTGAGCAACATGGGGTGGGTGGAGGGATGTGTATAGGTAAAATAATAATCCTGAAAATGAATCTTAAAAAGATTTTACTTGTATGCATTAGTATGTGATTACTCATAAGAGAATCTAGTGATGGAATCATATTGTTACATATATGAACCACTGTGTTCCAGAAGAGAAGGAAGTTTGTTATGTTAAACACACCTGTGTGAAGTAAGCACTATAGACTGGCCAGACTTCTGAATTGACGTCAACACAGTCCACAGGTTCCGCCTGGCCAGAGGATCAACTCCACTTGTTGGTTCATCCAGGAAAACAATAGGAGGGTTCCCTATCAGAGCTATGGCTGTACTCAGCTTACGTTTGTTGCCACCACTGTATGTTCCACAAAGCCGGTTCTCATACTCCTTAAGACCTGTTAAAAATAATGTTCACTCTCATATTTTTCCAATAGCAACAGTGCACTTTAAAATACTAATAATTTTGCACTATAATTAAAACAAATTCTTTATCATATGCCTTTCTGAACAAGGCTTGGTTGGAAAACTTTTTGGAGTGAAGAGACCACTTCAGTTCTGGGTATGTATGGGCAGACAACATTAAAATGGATCTTATAGAAATTGGGTTTTTCCATACGAAGCATGAAGCTCAACGAAATCTATCAGATAATGAGTAATAACGCAGTTAAATAGGTACTGCTGTATGTGAGCAAATAATACAGTAAAGATAAAGCCACCATTCTGTTTGGGATGATGTTCACAACAGTCAAAATATCTCTATCAAAGTAATCCATCTGCAGAATATAATAGCTAAATATAGAAATGGTACTTCTTTTTAAAGAGACGTGGACAGAGAATTCTTTTTGGTACAATACATTAAGGGGCAAGACCCTGAAAGAAACACAAATGAAATTTTACAAACTGATGGCAGTACCAGTACTAACATATGGTTGTGAGAACTGGGCAACCAATAGGGCTGATAAGAGGAAAATCAAGACAGCGGAGATGAAATTCTTACGCTTGGTAGCGGATGTAACTCTTCTGGATAAACAGCGTAGCGCCGCCCATTAACAAGGTGGCAAGACTCGCTCTCTTGATGTGGAAACAGGCGCTATGGCCTAAATCCATGAAAGAAGAAAAAGAAAATACTTTTACAGGCTAATTTTGTAATTCTAGTTTCATAATGTTAAAAACAGGAAAACATGCAACTCACCCATCAATGTGATCCATTTCTTGACTTCAGAATCAATGCCAAATTTAGAAACTCCACGAAGGCTGGCAAAAAGTTTTAGCATTTCATGACCTGTTAGAGCTCCATTGATGGCATCAAACTGTGGACAGTAGCCAATCTGTGCCAGGAACTGTAAACACAATGACATTTCAACATGGGAAGAAATTAAATAAAGTATGTAACAAGCATGAAAAACTCTAAACACTAATTTTCTGTCTTGCACAGACTCATGTATTAACAGCAGATGGATTTGAGGATTTTGTTGCTGGGAAGTGTATACAGCCTTTGAAGTTTTCAATAGTAAATTCTTTTAGCCTGCAGTAGCTAATGCAATACAGAACAGGACTGTCAGTACTTAATTATAAATCTGACAGGTAGTATTAGAAAAATCAAAGCAGATGCTACATTTCCAAAACAAAGCCAAGTAATATATTTAGGTACATTTTAGTTTCTTTGAACATAAAGACCACTGTCTTATGAAGTCAATGCTGCTTTAAGCTAGTTCATGTAATATTATTAATAGTTTCTACCTTTGACTTATCCTCATTAAGACCATACTGTCCAATCCAAGCCTCTCCTTCAGTAGGAATTTCATCTCCAGTAAGCATCTTGAATATGGTGGTCTTGCCTGCACCATTCACACCAAGAAGCCCAAAACATTCACCAGCAGACACTCCAAAACTAATACCCTTTACTGCAGTCAAGTCTCGTGTATACTTTTTTACTAAATTACGAACCAGCATAATATCATCTAGGTGAACAGCTCCCACTAGAATGTAAGATAATTATTCATTACTGTTTCAAGTCTACAAGCAAAATAGATCTGGGATGTTTAATGCAATGAAATACTCAGTTACTTTGTGAAAAATATAACTCACAAAATGTCCAATATATTAAAAATTCATAATCTCTCAACCTCTCAACAGTCTCTTTCATATACAATTTAATCAAAATCTATCAATTAAAGTCATGACAGAGCATCCTGTAAATAGTTTTTAATAGACTTCCATTTGTACAATTGTATTATTACTTCAGTATCACTAATTTGTCAATGTGAAAAAAAAATGTTGCACAGCGTATCTATCTGCCCCTAAAAACAAAGGGAGAAAAACTGATTAAACTGTTTATTTACTTATTAAATTCCCAACAATCTTGAATATTTGTTTCAGTCATAAAACATTCTTATGCAGCTATTTAATGAATTAACATTTTCAAATTAGCACAGCAGTTGCACACATCTTGGTTTTCCAAGTGATCAAACATACTTAGTGACTTTAGCTGCATTATATATATTAACATTTTCCCTTCTGGTTAATCTAACTTGATTTTTAAACAGAAAATTGTAATGACAAAATTGGACAGGGCACAACACAACACAGTTATTAGTAAAACAACAATCCCGAAAAAGTAAAAATTGTACAAACAAAGTAATATGTAAGAGTTAAAATTTTTAAAATTTTATGGTCACATGTTAAATGGACACTGCAGGGCATGAAGACCAAAAGCAAGCAAGTGGCAGAGTATGACAAAAAGTGTGTGTGATATATGAGAATGTGCCAAAAACTATTATGTTTCAATGAAGTTAAACAAAAGTTGGTTAATGTGCATTTAAAGTATAATATTTTTAATGTTTTGTATAATCTTCACTGTTATGGATGCAGAGTGCTGCAACAATAATATTTTCTTTTGAAATTCCATAGAAAAGACAAAGGAATGTACAATTACTATCTGAAAGATAGAAAATAACATATATTACTGAAATATTGCATCAATGTCAACATTTTTACAATCAAGTTATTACTGGATCGCATACAGCCAAATGTTATATTTTTTTCTTCGAAAACACAGAAAGCTTTGAATATAAACACAAGCTCAATACTTGTTCAAAATTGAGAGGAGGGAACCAAATATATTCTTATGTTTAGGTAAACACCGTGCATAAAATCAAAATCCTTACAAGTACAAGATATACCACAATTCCTTGATTTTAAGATGCACTTATTTCACATTGAAACATTTCTGAAATCAATGTGTGTTACATTTCATGGCAAGAACTGATATAGTCTTTTTTTCTGAAAACCTGTTACTAAATCAAGGGTGCATCTTACAATCAGTGGTGTCTTAAAATGGAAAGGAAATAAAAAAGTATGTACTGAATATACCTTTAACTTGACCATCAACTCTGTCTCGTTCATGCACCACATCATCATCAAGCTTCCGGCTTTTCACTGCATTTCCAACAACTGCCTTCTTAACTGCTTCATACAATACACCAAAAACACCAAATTCTACCAAGATGATGATAAAGAAATAAAGTAGAGAATCTATTGCCATATACAGGATTTCTTCACCAACCGCTAATTTGTTTTCATCATCTGCAAAACTTAGGTACGGTTTATATATAGCAGAACAGTAGCCATCTGCACAGCCAGGTACTAGAAAGAAACAACAAGCAAACAAGCATAAACAAAATGGTAAACCACGGAAGAAACTGTAAATAAACAACTTTTCATTTATATTAAAAACCTCCACAGCAAAAGTACAGTAAAACCTCTCTAAGTTGGACACTTGGGGATCCACGAAAATGGGTCCAAAGAAAGAGTAAAATCAGATTGTGGTCTAATGACAATATAATATATTTACTTACATACACTAACTACTGTAGGCTTACTTGAATTAAGAATTATGACAATAATATTAATAATAATCTTTTGAAGCCCACTCCCATGCATTGCACATTACACCCCAGCCTCAGTAACATTTTCTAAAGTTTATTCCACCAATTTGCACTTCCCCATCACAAAAAGAAAAATTCCATTTCCATTAACACAGTCTGAACTCAAATGCAAGCACAGTACTGATGGATTTAAAACTGTGTCTTCTGCAATACTGTACAGTTAAGGGTTCAGCAAAAATAGTTAAACACTTGCAATGCATTCCAATGATGGGTTCAATGTCCATAAGATAATCCTCCAGAGAGGAGGCATTCATCTGTCAGATATTCAAAATAACAAAATATGTAACTGAAAAAGTTTCCCTGAAAAGCATCGAAGCTAAGTGCATAAACCTGTCCAATTTACAACAAAAGGGGTGTTCAAGTTCCAGGATAAAGGGGTGTCCAAGATATAGGTATTGTGGACATGTAAAATTATAGGAAATTTACCAGTTCCAATTAAAAGTGTCCAACTTGAGGGGTTTTACTGTAATAGTAATGCAATTTATATAAAATAAACACAACTTATATCTGCTGAAGTTATAAACATAGAATAAAGAATGAACAGCAAGGAGGTGTGGTCTATTTATAGTGCTAGCCAACAGTTTGTATGAAAGGATGGAAGAAACCACATAAAAAACAGGACAGCCAGTCTTTGGGTCAAGATTTAAATATTCTGAATATAAAAGAAGGTAACAAATCAACCACATCATTCAGTAAAACAGATACACCCCCATCTGAAGTTATTATGAAGTCAACCCCTTCCCACACCATTAAATTTAACAGATCCTGATACTATCAGAATAGATAAATTAAATGCTCTTCCTTATACACCATTCTACTAAATTAGGCTTGTCAATGGGTTAACCATATAAGTGTTACATTTCCATTTCTGCAGTCTTATGATTAAAAATTTGGTATGATATAATGTTTAGGGAGAAGAAAAATGACACACTTATGAACAGCGAACTGTTAGGTTTTTGGGCATTAAGAACACAACATAAAACAAGTGAGGGCAATGAAAAAAGTTTTTGCTGGCAAACTAAAAAACAGTGTAAACCTAAAGCTTATGTATCCCATTTAATTCCAATTCTGGATTTTCTAACACCTACTTACAAGCTCTAAGAGAGCTGGTGTAGCTCAGTCAGTATAATGGCTGGCTACGGACTGGACGACCAGGATTTGATCCCTGACGGAGGCAGAGGATATTTCCTCTAGCCTCTGCGTCCAGACCAGTTCTGCGGTCCACACAGCCTCCTATCCAATGGGTACTGGGGTCCTTTCCTGGGGGTAAAGCGTGGCCGAAGCATGATGCTGACCACTCACCCCATCGACTGCCAAAGTTAAGAATGAGCAGGAGCTATACCACCTCTCCCCTTAAGTGCCTACATGGCATATAGTGGGACAGCTTTACTTATAAGCTCTAAAAATACCACAATACAATAAAATAATAAAATATGTTAAAGAGAATATGAGAAATTGTTGCACTACCAAGGAAAACAATGCAGTAAAAGTTATTTAATATGTAAGAATGGAACTGGAGAAATCTGAACACCAACCTCAAAACACACTACTAAGTTTTAACTCTACTAAAAATAAATAAATAAAGATATATATAAATTCCATGTTGCCGTTATCCACAAATTATCAACTGGAAACTAGGCTAGGTTTACAAACAATATTACAGATTTCATATCTATAAAGTAATGCAGAAACTTACAGCAGCATAAGTCAGAACTTCCAGAAATGCTATTACAATCAGATTTCTTCAGTCTGCACTTATTGTTTGTGAGAACAAGATATGAGAAGCGTCCAAATGCATATGTAATTGTGAAGTGAGGTACAAATTCGAATAAGTACTTCAGCACTTTCCCAGTAGACTTGTAGCTCTCAAACAATATCATAGAGTACACCACCGGAGACATTACTGAACCTGCAGAAGAAACTGCTATGAGAAGGTATTTTACTATACAATCCACATTACATGGGTACATACAAATATATAAACATTATGTGTACAAAAGTATCTTGATTGCATGTGCTTCACAAGTTCAAATATCAGCAAGAATTTCTGTTATACTGAAGATTCAAGAGGAATAGTCACTCAGTGTGTGAATATGACATGAACCCATTTAGTGCATTTAGCTGACTTCTCCAAACTTTTTTAAACTTAAGTATGGAAAAGTCAATTGAAGCACGTTTTGGAAGCAGAGCCAGCTTCCAAAACATTGACAGGCTTCTAAACTCATAGATGAAAAAAATTTCCACTAATATGCATCAGTTTAATGACAGACCTTCATCAAAAACCTTCACAAGAATAGAAGCATGAAGTGATATATTACGACAACATTCACATCATTTAAAACTTGGTTATAATGTGTATTCCACAGATTACATTTCATTAAGTAACTCATTACGTTGTATACAATACATAATAACAGACATTCACTGTACCTTAAATTGGTGATAACTTTTTTTACAGGCCCCTAATTTTATTAGATTATAATGTTAGAATTTATTATTCTATCAGTTACATGTTACTTACCAATCAATATACTGAGTATTACAAGTAAGGCAAAAGCACCTGCAGTTGTGTTCCTGAAGTAACTGAATAGGTATGCAAATGGAATAGCACTCAAACCATACATCACCAACAATAAGAAATATGTACCTGAAATAAATAACAATCAATTACTAAATGACAAGTTACAACAAATAGGAAAGTAAGGTGAATGAGTTACAACTTTTAAAATAAACAATAAATAATGAACAAAATGCATGCAATAACAAATATACAACCAAATATAACAGAGAAAAGGCTGTTTCTTTACAGATTTATTTATTTTTCTTTGTATAAAGTATATATAATAGGGGCACTTGATCCTGATAATTCAGTAAAATTAAATATTTCATAATTATCACAGATTACTTTAAAAGTGGCTCAGAGATGCTGATAATTTAATGTGGGCAATAAAATGTTTGGAACATTAAATTAATGTAGTCCTTCATCATATCTGCCATGTTGCCCACAGGCATTCAAACTTCAAACTTTCATGGAAATGAAAAGTCTATGTACTGAAACACTTTTGTGATCAGTAGAGCACACTGTAGTTATGAAGAAAAATGACAACAGTCTGCTATGTACACATAAAATCTTGAAGATATAGAAATACATTACTTAAAAGGACTTGTAGCCTCCGAATAGTTTTAGTGGAGAAAGACTCATAAAAAAATCTTTCAGCTGCATGTGAAGGGAGAAGAAACTGGTAACATATCTCCCTTTCCTACTTTGCAACCCAGTCATGTGAAACATTATAACCTTTAATCACCATGAAGGATAACATATACCTCTAAATTCTGTACATTACAATATTTATCATTATTTTGCTCTTAATGATATTTAACTTTCAATATAAAAAATAGAAGCACATAACAGGAATCAATTTGCCTTTACTAAATTAATAAGAAAATAACAGGAAGAATTTGTAAAGATGGTGTTAAATACATTATTATACCTTCATTTTCCCAGTACTGATTATTACTGCATTATTTTCATATATATTTCTGAGTATACACAAGAAATACTAATTTCACATTGAATTCTGATGAGCATCATAAAATAAATGTGCGTTGTTGGTACATCTCATAAGTATTAGCAGCAACGGAATTTGGACAGCACTTTATAACAGAATAAGTCATCTGAACAGCACTCATGCTAACTGAAATTTCAGATTCTTATGGCAGGGAGGATAAGTAGTATGCACCCCTGAAAATTTCAGTAATGTCTACAAGATGCAATAACCCAAAAGGCAGCTATCTTCAGCACTCATGCCAATATCAATATACTAGAGCAGTGCAGTATGTAATGCCCACTAAATACTATGGTCTTCATGCATATAATAATTACACCTCTTTACATACCCAGTTCCGTAGACCTATTGAACACTTTCAGTGGGTCGGCAATTAACACTATCAACGTCAAGATGAATGCTATGGTCATGTACAACAGAAGATCCCACATGAAGCAGGTAAACCAGTATGCAAGTGGAGAGGTTCCAGTCATCAGCTGTAGTTGCTTAGCTTTTGACACCCTTTCTGTCAGAGGGAATGTCATACAGCTCCCAGTCACAAAGAGCAAGCCAAATGGCATCAGAGTCACCCACAACACAACAACACCTACATATCTTCCAATATCATCACCAAATTCATGCTGGAACATATCATAAACACTTCATTACTTTTAAAGTCCTTACTCAGATAGAGAACATTCAGGTTCACTGCCACTCAAACTGCAGTTTTGATTCATTTAATAAAATGTCTCATTTTCTAAAACATCGATTACACCTACTTTCTTAAATCACTTTTTAAAGGACAATTATATAAATGGCGTGACATTTTAAAGATGAATATTTATATCCCAGTAACAAATAGTGTAACAAATTTAACCAGTCCTACAGAATTCCAAAAGAGAACACTAGGAAGACCTAGATGTAGGTGGGAGGATATTAAAATGAATCAGGATTGGGTGGTATGGACTAGATTCATCTGACTGAGGATAGGGACCAGTGGCTGGTCCTTGTGAACATAGTAATGAACCTTCAGGTTCCTTAATGGGAACAAAATTTGTTGACTAGCTGAATGAGAATCAGATTTTCAAGAAATACTCTGCTCCATAACATCCAAATTCATACAGGACATAATATGAGAACAAAACTTCAAATAACTGAAGTATTTAACTAGCATATAAAATATTCAAATTCATACACAACAGAACAATATAAAAATAAACATCACATAAACAGTGTTAAGTTTCTAACATGTAATTGTTGAGAAATTACAGAATTCCATCTGGCAGTTAAATACAATCTGTTTTTGAATCTATATTTCTAAATATGGCTAAATCTTAGACATGAAGGTAAAACCAGTATCTACTTATGAGCTTTATACCAAGTTATCCTCCAATACACTCACCTCCCTACTCTGAAGAGGGTGATTAACTGCTGTAATGGATTTTTCTTGGGAAACAGTCTTCAGAATAGAATTAGTCAGAGCATTAAGAGAGATGGGAGCTCCATGAATGGCAGTAGACGAAAACATTGCATTTAACACTTCTACTCCTGATGCCGATGAATTGAATTCTGCTGCAATGATAAACTTGGTATGGTATTTCTGGATGTTGGAATCCCCAGCAAGGAGTAAGGCTGCACATACATTTTTAACTTCTGTCACATTGGAACCAGTTAAATTTATAAACTCTTCATATTTATTACTCCAGGTTCGTAAACTATCATGGTTTACAGAGTAGAGTACATCTGTTACCCCATAATCACTCAAGTTCATTATTCGAGGAGGTTCCATTGTTGTTTCAGTACGAGCACCAAGAATCACTGTGAGAAAAGCCAGCAGAATCGCAGTCAGAGCCTAAAATAAAATTACAATGCTTATGATACTGAACTCATCAGAAATCATATAAGTAAAAGAAATATTATGGAACACTATTTAGTTAATGTTTACTAATTATACTTCAATACATAAGACTTTGTAAGAGCATGTACATTAATCAGTTTAAAGGAAATACTTCATGTCATCCATTTGTTTCTTTCTGTTCTGACACTTTCCGTTGACAATGTTTTATACAGCAGCATATAAAAATGCACCAAGTTTGGTCACAGTGCATAATAAAATAAAAAATTTTACAAACTCAATTTATAGTAGCTAGAGTAAGAATAAAAATTCACAAAGGAAAGACTGTTGAGAAAAAAGATGAGATTTTTTCTCATTGACTGTTATGAAATAGAAATGATATACTAGAAAAAGAAAAAGATAATTTTTAGTACGCTAATGTGTTAGCCTGCCAGAAAATGTGTGCAGTGTGAAGTCGTGGAAGTTCCCTGCATTACTTTCTTACCTGTGGGCAGACCGCTAAAAACTTTCTGCGTGTGAAGAGAACACGTTTTTTAAACAAGGCTGTCAGCTTTTGTACCAGTAGACTTGCTCCAACTGCTTTCTTTAATGTCAGAGCTGAAACAAATAATGTTGAGTAACAACTGCTTGCAGAGCTGCTTTGTAACTCTTTTTCTTCTTACCACAATAGGATTAAATTCTAAACCCTGTCTAAAGATATTTTTACTTTATAAAATGTATTACACACACAATGTGCTGAGATATGAAATGGTTATGTGACCTGATAGCAATTCTGATCATTACTGTTGACTGCCCATTTCCAGTTTACATTCTGAGTCAGAAATGAAACCTTTCCAGCAAGGCTTGCAAAACTGAGCACATTTTTGCTATGTGAACAGTTTGTCCCAAAATTGTTTAATACTAACATTAAATTAATTCAGAAAAATGGATTCCTGGTGACTTTTGTATGGCATGTTTTGAAGATGTATTAATTGCAGCCATGATGCACATGTATGTTCCACCTCTTCCAAATATACAAAGTACAATAGAAATCATGATCAGTTCATTAAAGGTACATACTCATGCTAAGTGAACCACCATGGATATACAGCACCAAATTAAATGATAGGGAGGGAGGGAGGGAGGGAAACCACACAAAATGTTATAACTCAGTGGCCAAGATTTGAATTGGGTACATTCTGAATATAAGAGAGATGTGTTACTACTCAGAAAAACTGAAATATCTTCAATTTATAAATCCTATAGGTATATAATTTTAAATATTCCTTTGGGTGAAGATAATATACTTTTACCAATAACACCACCTATTTATGTAACCTCTGCATGCTACTACACAATATGAAAGGTTTTAAGACTGTTCATGCTAAACAGGCAAAAAGCAGCCAATCAGTTCCTTTGGGCATAGCAGTTTCTAAACATGAATCAGAGGCCCTGTGAGAGCTGTAAGAATGTTTTGTGGCAGATGCCATATTTCATCAGTATGGCACTCTAATGGTCACTAATTTTATGTTTGCACATATAAAATTACAGAACTACACTAGGGATGATTTCAATCTCCCATACCTTCAGAACTGCCAAGTAATTCTGTACATTCCACATGTGATTCTGAATTAGTCTTCCTATCAGATTCATCTTCTGCTTCTTTTCCTACCCTGTAAAAGTAATCTGATTATAATCCCCATTACAAACATTCTGCACTCATCTGCAAATTGTGAAAGATCATGAGGAAATAATCAACAATTTTAATACATTACAATGTAGAAAGACAGTTATTAGATGCCAAGCAATAAAGTCCTTTTAATATACTTTACTTCTCACACAATAAAATTTACTTTCAGTAAAATATTATAAATGCACAGGTAACTAACCTCAGAAATACTTCCTCAAGAGTTGTGATAGAGACACCAATGCTGGATATGCATAACTGTTGCTTTTTTCGTTCCAAAACATCAAACAGATCAGGGAATTTGTTACGCTGCTCTAACGGAAGCATATAACACAACACTGAGCCCATCACATTCTTCACTTTTGCATCCGGAATAATAGGCTGGATTGTATTTGTTACCCTGGTCACATTACAACCATCATTTTTTAGCAGGTTTAACTGATATCCCGTTCCTGAAACATTCCATGTTCCAAATCAGACTCTAAACTGGTCACAGAATTTACAGGGTTTCTTTTGACAGGATTCAGTCTTATAGATACATTACTCACAATGCTGATTCCATAAGAACAAAAATTTCTGCATGCTCATAAATTTAAATGAAAACAGCTGTATTACTTTAACTATAAATAATGGAAACTATTTAATTCAACATACATGTCTTGCAATGACCCACCAATGGCATGAACAGAGGTTGGAGTAAGAGAGGACAAGCGTATGAAAACATCTACAGACAGATATTTCAGTTTCTCAGCTGGTGCCAAAGCAGAACTCAGACATTCATGCAGACATGCTTCGACTGCTCTTAGACAATTTGTGCAATTTTTGCCTACTGGCAGATCTGTAGAATGTTCTGCTGTTTAATGGAACATTCTGCATGATATCTGTCACTATGATGCTCTCCATGTTCCAGAAAACAGTCAACATTACCTTTCCAGCTGATGATACTACATAAAATCTTTTGGGCTTTGGTGATGAATTACATCAATCTTCACTAGCATTGATCTATAGATTTTGCAATAATTAAATTCAATGAAGTCTTCTCAGGCAATCAGCTGTCTCAGGTAAGTGATAAAAAAAATGTTTCAAGAACTGTCCCAGTCCTTGAAACATTGGTTGTTTGTGACCACCTGATGTGGTTCATTACCCAAGATGACTTCACTAAACTTTGCTAGCTCACTTGGTTTCAGATTTTGTTTCCCACTAAGATACAATTGCAAACCACTGAAACTTTGATTAACCTAATAATATTAGGTATGCTGGTAAGTAACAAGTTACTTGATATATTTATAATGTATTCTCTTATCAATTTACTTCACTCTCATATATCACCTTGTGACTTCATTTTTAGATACCTGCAATTTATGCTCTCCATAGAATAAGAAAACATTATATGACCACAAAAAACAACTCATAAAATTACAGGCATACCTCAGAGATATTGTGGGTTCGGTTCCAAATCACCGCAATAAAGCGAGTCACACAAATTTTTTGGTTTCCCAGTGCATATAAAAGTTATGTTTACACTATACTGTAGTCTATTAGTGTGCAATAGCATTATGTCCACAAAAAAACAATGCAAGAACATTGCGAGAATTACCAAAATGTGACATAGAGACATGAAGTGATCACATGCTGTTGGAAAAATGTACTTAAAAATATTAAACTAGTAACTATAATTCCAACTTATCTCACGCTTACCATACAGTTTCTTTAGGAACATAGTAGTACCATAACACTTTACTTGACCATGATCCATGATAGCAATTCTATCTCCAAGAACATCTGCTTCTTCCATATAGTGTGTTGTAATAAGAATGGTTCGCTCGCCTCGCATATTCTAATGAAGGAATTGATATAAATGATTAACAGGCAGCAAAAAAGATATAGTGTAATGAAACATTACCTAACTACAAGAAATATAATTACAACAGCATCAAGGTCTTCAATATACAGCTAATATACGAGGTTGTGACATATATATATATTAAAATTATATTGTT